ACCAGGCTGTGTTTGCAATTCAGTTCATTTCACCAAATCCAGGTAACTTAACTGCAGCTATAGCTGCTTGCTCTCTTTGTTTTTTCTCTTTTGAAGTGAAACTAGAGAATTAAGACATGAGAGCACATCTTTGAGTCCGCCGGTCCCTTCCAGCCTCGGAGCGACTCTGGCTCACTCGGTGGTTGAAGCCGAAGGGAAGCCGGAAGCCTGCTGCTGTTTGGATTATAGAATTCCTTTGACTTACTAACCCAGTCCAAACTCACTGCCTTAAGCTCCTGTTTTAAATGAACTGATTAGTAAGAAATTACACTGAAGATGGCACCTGAAAATTAAGATTCTAATTCTGTTTTTATTTAAAAGATACTTTCACATTATCTACCTTTCTGATACCATAGATGAAGTTTTTAAAAAAAATCAAGGTATCCATTTATAGCTAAATAGCATGTTTTCTCAGCTTCCATATCTATTTAGGAAAAAAAAAGCTCTATAATCCTTGAAAGAAGATAAGTCTAGTAATAAAGGAAAAGTCTCAGAGAAATGAGTTATTCTTGGGAGCACTCATAATAGCTAAGTCTTAAGTGCTCATCTGTGTAATGAATACCAAGATTCCTGAAACCCTGTGGATGAAACATTCTCTAAATTTCATTTTTTGGCATTAAGTGTGCACTCTGACTCAGGAGTCTGTTTACAGGAATCTGTCCTAAGGAAAGAGAGATGGGCCATGTAGGCCTGTTTGTTGATGTTCATTGCAGCATGATCATGATAGCATACTAGTGTGTGCAATGTGTCCTGTGCCTGACTTTTGCTCCTTAATGATCCCATTTAATGTGACTCTCTAGTCTACATTTCATGAGTGTTTGAATTGTGGAAATGTTTCAAATGACATATTTTAGATTGTGATCATTTAAAATACGGTCCAATAGTTCAGCTTAATAAATCCAAAAGGACAAGCTATTTGTAGTGCAGTAATTTTCTTTAGACCATATGCCAAGAATGAGTCATCTCCTGTTTTATTCAGCATTAACTTTGATTGAAAAGAAAGAAATCTACACAAGCAAAGTACAAATTTTATTTAAATTGAATGAAGATAGCAAGGGCATTTCAGAATTAAGTCTAATAGCTATACTGTAGACTTTTTTAACGGAGGATTATAATTGTGGAGTTCTGTTCCTAGATTTTAATACTATGTTTCTTTCATCTTGAAACAAAAAAAAATTTTTTTTAAACATTTTATTAGGGGCTCATACAACTGTTATTGCAATCCATACACGCATCAATTGTGTAAAGCGCATTTGTACATCATTCTCAAAACATTTTCTCTCCACTTAAACCCCCGACATTAGGTCCTCATTTTCCCCCTCCCTGCCCGCTCCCCCCTCCTTCATGAGCCCTTGATAGTTTATAAATGGGTATTTTGTCATATCTTGCCCTGTCCGACGTCTCCCTTCACCCACTTTTCGGTTGTCTGTCCCCCAGGGAGGAGGTCACACACAGTTCCTTGAAACAAAAATTTAAGGGATCCTGAATTATCAAATTATAGGTGTTAGATCAGGAAGATTTCATAAGAGAACTTCATTCTGCCATCCTGAAATAACATGGATAATCCACAGGACTCCTCATCTATCCAGGCGTGGCACCAGGCATACATGTTTTTATGAACTTCAGTGTCACTTTGTGATAGGCAGTGTTGTACCCAACTGGCATGAGGAAATTGAAGCTTTAAAGAGGTTAGTTGAGATTGCATAATTAGTATGGATAGAAGGTGGGAATTCCCAAACTTTGATGTTACGACGATACTGATGGGAAATTTACAATATTTGGAACTTTTGACTCCAAATAACAACTCTTTGCCCTTGTTATGAGGCCCCCAGTAGCACAGGGGGATAACTGTAAGGTCAGCGGTTCGAAACCTCCTGCTGCTGCAAGAGAGAAAGGTGATCCTTTCTACTCCCTTGAAGAGTTAAGATCCCAGAACCTCAGAGATAGTCCTGCCCTGCTCTAGAAGGTTCCTCTGAGTTGGAATTCCCCGGATGGCAATGAGTTTGGTTTGGTTTGAGCTTTGACTATGTTGTAGATCAGGGGTCCTGAAACTTTTTAAATGGGCCCAGTTCACTGTCCCTCAGACCCCTTGGAGGGCCAGACTATAGTTAAAAACTATGAACAAATTCCTATGCACACTACACATATCTTATTTTGAAGTAAAAAAAACAAACAGGGCAAAACCACCCGATGGACCAGATAAATGTCCTTGCGGGCCACATGTGGCCCGAGGGCCGTAGTTTCAGGACCCCTGGGGGCCACCAGTGATGTATAAGCATGGGATAGTAATTGTTGAATTCCAGATGAAAGATGAAAGACAATTAAGGAATTGTGTGAAGGGAGCTATTACCGATTTTTTACTTGCTATGTAAAAACGTCAAGCGTGCATACCACTTAGTATCTCACTAAATAGAATACCAACAGCAGTATTAGATATGCATGGTCCACCTTAAGTCTTTAAAGAAGTATGCATTCATGAATGTGCGCTTTGCTTTGAGCCCTGCAGTGTCTACAGTGTCAAGTCCTAGAGGAATCGGACACAGGCCTGCCCATCAAAGTGTCTCAGCAGATCTGAGGTCTCTAGGGAGGCAACATTAATACAGGATAGAAGGGGCAACTGGCAGGAGGGAGGTGCCCTTTAAGTGCCATGGGGATTAAGAACAACCAGAGTCTTCTAATCCTCTAGAGCAGTGGTTCTCAACCTTCTTAAGGCTGTGACCCATTCATACAGTTCCTCATGTTGAGGTGACCCCCCCAACCATAACATTATTTTTGTTGCTCCTTCATCACTGTCATTTTGCTACTGTTACGAATCGGGCAACCCCTGTGAAAGGGTCGTTCGACCCCCCAGCTTGAGAACCGCTGCTCTAACGCTTATCTAGAAATGTCTTCTCGAGGTGCCCTTTGATCTGCCCTCGAAGGATGGACACTTGAAATTGGTGTATGGCTGCAGGCATAGGCACTACTGAGCTTATCTTTTGTAACTCAGGAAGTCAGCACCGATCACATAATTCCGGAGCCTGGTGGTGTCGTGGGTGACTTGCTGGGCTGTGAACCTCCGGGCCAGCGATTCGAAACCATCAGCTGTTTAGCGGGTGAAAGATGAGGCTTCACCCTCCTGTAACAGTTACGGTCTCAGAGACCCACAAGGGCAACTCTACTCTTGTCGCTGTGAGTCGGAATTGAGCGGGCAGTGAGTCTTTTGAGTGTGGATAGGGTCTAAGGACTAGCTCCCTCACCCAGAAGTCCCTGCGTGGACCCAGTAGTCTGAGCCTTCCACTACTCTGGCCCTCCTGGGTTTCCAGGGTCTTCATCTCTTGCCACCTTGGTGTCTTCTACCTGACCTTTAAATCCTGTGCTTTCCTCTTTGTTTGCACCTCATCTCCCCCACTCCTCGGCTTCATACATCAGTTCTCTCCCGCGCTCATTTCTACTGGGTAGCTATTCTTGGGTTCCCTTGAGATTCTAGAAGCTCAAAGTTAATGGCTTTGAAAAGATACCTTATTTTCATTTCATGCTCTGCCCCGATAGTGCAGGTATTCAGGCCTGCCTGAGCACACACACCATGTCTGTCTCCGTCTCCCTGTTTTTCTCATACCTTAATCTCACCGAATAGCACTTATCATACAACCAGTTGTGTCAAGCTAAAAACCCAGCACCTGATTTTTCCTACCCCCACCCCCATTTTGCCTGTCAGCAGGTCCTGTTGGCTGTGCCTGGAGCCTGCTCTCGGTTGTCTTCAAGTCACTGTCCCGAGTCTCTGTCCACGCTCTCCCCAGCCCACGCTGCTTGGTGTGTTTGCAGCATCGGTTGCTGCCCCGTGCTCGTGATCTCAGAATGAAACGACAGCAACGAGAGTTCACAGTCTTAAGTCAGGTCTTGGTTTTAGCTTAAAGCCTTCCAGGGCCTTTAGTTGGCCTGAAAATAAAATGCAGGCACTTTTGTGACTCTCAGGGCCCTTGCGTTTTTTCATCACCCTGAAGAAGTGATCACTTACTTTTCATGAAATCCCCTCAGCCTGGGTGCGCTCTCTCTCTCTCTCTCTTTCTCTCTCTCCCTCTCTCTCTGTCTGACGGTCTCGAAGAAGTCTCTATATTATATGTATTGTTTCTGAAATAGGGATGACCCAAGAGTTACTAGGAGGATTCCTGTTGCCTTTTTCAAAACGAGCCAATCACACCGTGTCAGATGTAGGTTTATATGAAGTATCGGCTCCCTGCGCCTGCAGTCAGAGCTGTCATGGAATGTGCGTTTTGGAAGCAGGAGGACTCTTGAGACTTGGGGCAGTGAAGCGACCAGCTGAAACTTGCTTGATTTCCTTCAGGTAGCTCCTGAAGGGAAGTGGCACCACATCTTCCCTGAGTATTTTTTGAGCACACAGTTGTAGCAAATGAGTTATTAAAGAATGTTTTGTAACTTATTGATAAGTAACTTTAACCTGCCTTAGGCTGAAAATGAGGATCATCTCCGAGCGGCTCTGATGATGCAGTAGCATACTGCACTGTCAGGTGAGGCAGTACAAAGTGAGAAGACCCCAATAGCGTGTCTTTGAAATATTGTTAGAATAAATTGGTTTATCTGCCTTTATCAGCAAAGCAAGTTGTATTTTATAAGGTTAGGCACCCCCACGCCCCAAAATCCACCGCGTCAGCCCACTCTTTTGGGGAAAAATTACCTCAACAGAGTGGTGTGCGTTGTAAAGCCATAGCTTTCAGGGTGAAAGTCAGACCAAGCACATCTGAGATGGGTCCTTTCCTGCACCTTACATTGCTCCAGTTACTCTCCCTTTAGTCTGGAGGTTCGGAAGCTGTGTGAGACAAACCATCTCGTGTCACATGTCACACCTTCCTGGGTGTCCTTCTCCCTGAGGGGTTGCCCTTATTATTTGATAGGACTGGCTGAATCATTTGTGAATGAGTGTGCAGACAGAACTGAATGAGCTATTTTTATCATGCACACAGGTACCTGATCGGATAGCTGCAGCTCGTTCCAGAAACATCCCTGTGGTGTGATTGAAACCCGCTGGCTTACAGGTAAGAGAAGCCAAATTTAGTTTTGTAGTTTTGTCTGCCTGTGATGGCATGGGTGCTGTGGTTTCATCGTGTGAGTGATTGATTCCAAATGATTCCTTGTTTTCTTTCCTCTTCCTTTAAAGTATCGGGACCCGGGGAAGAGAAGAGTGCCTTGCTTGCACTGCACCTGTGCCTTGTTTAAAATTGGCGGGGTGGGAGTGACACACACACACACACACACACACACACACACACACACACATCTATTTACGGTGTTGTTGTGACCACGAGACAGAAATTGGTATGGTTTTGTGACTGTTTGTTTCTCTTAAGTTGTGGCCTTTCGGTATTCCCCAACCATTCAGGAAAGATTTTTCGTGTAATTATAATGCTGCACCAGTCGTGTTATTTAGCATTCACAGTAATTCTGTGAGATACTGACGGGCATCCTAACGCTGGACTAAATGTCCCTGGGTGGCACTAGGAATTTGTCACTCGGTTATTTGTTAGAAGTCTGACAGCTTTGACTCATGCAGCAGTGCCTCAGCAGACTGCCCTGAAAGGTCACAACCTTGAGAACCTGTGCAGCCAGTCCAGTCTGTGCACACGGGCTCTCTGTGGGCTGCCACCATCAGCAACGACGACTCAGGCTCAGTGGGCTCCATGAAGTCACACAGCTGTTCTGTGATGAACTCTGATTGGCACCCACTTCTCTTGGATGCCTCCGCCATCGTGCTACCTTGTTGGCCTTTCCTGTTTTCCCATATATTTGTTCCTGTTACCGTCCATCTTACAGTGGAAGAGCACATGCTCAGGTTGGCTTAAATAGCATGCTTTTGGTGGCTGTTAGTAATCCCCACTCTGATGTCCATATAACTACAAGGGCATGGAACGTGGAACATGGACCGTGGACTGTGGAACATGGAACATGGAACATGGATTGTGAAAAGCAGCCTTATGAACAACGAGTGAGGATCGCAAATCTCTTGAGAAAGTAAAGGCACACATTAACTGATGATCATCGTGTGTATGTGTTAGTCTGGGTAGACTAGAGAAACAAATCCACAGAAACTCATGTGTAGAAGAGAGAGTTTTATATAAAGGGCAAGCGCAATAAGAAAGGATCCCAACCCAGTGCTGTCCAAGCCCATAGGTCCAACATTAGCCCATATGTCTGACACCAATCTACAAAGTCCTCCGCCATCTGACAAAATGCATGCAATGACACCAACTGCAGGAGGAAAGCTGAATCAGTGAGCGTGTCAGCATCTCAGCGCTGGCAGGGGTCTCCACACGGCTGCTCCAGCACCCAGGGCTGCATCAGGGTAGGTCCATGTTGCTTCTCCTCAGGGATGTGTCGCAGGAAGTGAGCCTTGCCAGCGGACGCAGGGAACTGGCTAAGGCAGCTGCACCCTGGTCCGACCAACAGAGAGCCAGAGACCCGAGAACTAGAAAGGCGAGGCTCGCCCAGCCGCTGATCTCTCCGCCCTTCCCTTAATTCCACATGTTTATCACGAGGTTGGCACCATGAACCATAACTATCTCAGTGTGTTTAGATGCATTGAAAAGCTTTTTATGAACAACACATTCTTACTGTGAAAGTTAACGTCCACAAGTATATGCTAAAAACATAACCATGTCACTTTCAAGTGCGGCAACACGGCAGTGGATCCCTGTTTATTATATACTGGTCTGCCAATGCTTGTGGAGTGGGTGGTATGCTTTATGAATCCAACTGAATAGCATGTCTAGACAGAACTAAATGCATAATTATATGAAATCACAGCTTGAGAATTATGACTGGCAAACTTTAATAGTTATTGGCTACTCTGCAATTTTACAATTTCTTTGTTGGGATCACTTTTGTGTTAGTTTATTATTGTATTGTTTGTGTTATATAAAGTTTAATTTTAGCTAAAACAGAGATGGTGTACCATGTGTGATGATACAAATCCAGTTTTATAAGTAAAGCACATTTTCTCCCAAACCCTTAGCATTTTTCTTGATTTAGAGAATTGAATAAATCTAAATGAAAACTATTGCTTCCAACATTAAATTTAACTAGAAACTTTTGGAAACCAACTTAATAGGGCATCAAAAGGACCATCTTTCATCCTAGTTTCTTTTAAAAGGAGACTAACTAGCCTTGTGCACATTTTAGGGAATAGTTCAGATTCTCCTGGCCTCAGTCTGATCTTTAATCCCTGCCATCCCCCCTCTGTCTTCAAGGCTGTATGTTGTCCTCCTCCAGCTACCAAACTCTCGCTCGTTGACAGGAGAGGAATTGCCAGCATTTCTCTTCCTTATTGATCTAGCCTCTCCAAACTGGGCCCTTATAAACAAGTGCAGTGAACATTTTATTACTGAGTTTGGGAGTTCTTTATATGTGCTGGATATTGAGCTTTCTTTTTTATCTTAGGTTTACAACTGTTTTCTTCCAGTGTATAGCTTGCCTGTTTTCTTTCTTTTTTTTTAAGCATTGGCATTTGAAGACAGGCATTTTCAGTATGATGTGGTAGTTATTGCTCTCTGTGTTCTCTTACATGTCCTTCTGTAAGCTTCATGGCCTGTCATCCATCTTCAGTTGCTTTTCTTCACATGCTATATCATTGACACCCAGTCAGAAACATCTAGAGCTTAACCTCCACTTTGGTAAGGACTTTGGCAGTCTGAGAATCTGTAATTGGTTCTAGAACATTATGTGTAGCAGTAGATTGGGTTAGAATTTTGGAACCGCTTGAAGGAGGAACATGAGGAAGATAAAGGTTAGTTCATACCTGTCTAGTGTTTTGGTCAAAATATTTTTGAGACATACCTCCATGTTTGGGATGAAACTGTTGTCAGTCCTAATGAGTGCTCTTCGAGTAACTGGGTTCATTTCCAGAATCGGGCCAACGGAATGGACTGCAGAACAAGACTGTAGTAAAAGGCTTTATCAGTAGAGATGCTGGGTTTCTACTCAAGTGTTCTGTGAAGCTGACCGGTACAATTTGCCTGATAAGTCAGGAGGCTTGCCATGTTGCAATAAGAAGTTGAATTGAAAGAATCAGATTGAGTCAGCTAACTATGTTACCCTCGCCTAAACAAGTCTTATGGTTAGATACATTGTGGGTCTCAAAGTAGCTGTACAATTCCACCAGGGTTCTTCCTTATTTCTAGCATCTTGGCTCTGTCCCCTGACGCTGCTGTGAGAGCACCACTAACAGCCTCTGAGGCGAAAGGAAACTTGAAATACCACTCAGTGGTCTGTATTCTGGGTGTTACCTGCTGCAAGTGTTGCGTTTCCCCACACTATGCCACGTGAAAGGGGCAGGTTCAGAAATGTTCTCAGTCATGCCTCTGAGCGTGCTTAGTGGGGGAAACTCACTTCTTCGGGAGTCTGAACATGTGGCTTCTCCTCTCAGGTGCTGGAGTTGAATTTACTACTCCAGCCAGCTGGTGACCCAGTCACTTCTTCACGGGCACTGAGCACTTTAAGAGGAGAGAGGAGGTGTTGACATGGACTAGATGTGAGTCTGTCCTGCTCCAGAGAGTCAGATGAGCAGGACAGAAAGAAGCCAGCGTTCCTCTCGAAGGACTCCCTCAGAATGGATGCTTGAACTCATTTTTAACTTGCCACCTGTGGGGGGAAGGCTGTCCCTGTTTTCTTGTTTGTTTGTTTTCTGACCGGTCACACGAACAAACCCAGTTAGGACTGAGAGGCTCGGGGGGAGTGATGCTAGTGCCACCTCCGAGGCAGTGTTGTCCTTGCGACACACTGCGCCACAGTCGGTGCAAATAGCAGGGAAAACTGGCCAGGCTCAGAGTACGCTTTCAAAGCGGAGCTCTCACCAAGGAAACATGAACTGTCGTCGATAACTCGCAAGGAAAGTAGGGCAGTTCCCAGGCTGCTCTTTATGTGCAGGGATAAACAGCAGCACTGAAGAACCGTGCTGAAGACAGCAGTCACAATTCACTGTGCTCTGATCGTATCCCTTTAGGAGGGTGATGTGACATTTGTTTTGTGACCTAAAATTCTGGTTTAAAGTGGAGGTTTTAGTAGCATCATAGGCAAAATTCAGTACTCTGTGTTCGCCGCTGGTTCTGATCAACAGGGATCACAGTGGATCTGCTTCCAGTTTCTCAAGCATGGCGACCGGCTGGCGTTCACGAATGACTGTTTGCCAAGAAGCCACTCAGATGGAATGGCCTTAGATATCTTGTCCTTTCAGTATGTTTGATAGCAGTTCTCTCTTTCATAGCCTCCTCGATGAATTGAAATCAGTCATGCCACATGGTGGTTTTGAGCTACAAATCAGTTAATAAGTCTAGTATTCAATGATTTTAGGGCAACATAGATTAGTCTCTTAACACAGAGGTTTTAGAACATTTCCATAGAAAAAATTGCCCTGACTGCTTGGAACAACACCTTTAATTGCCATGTGAAATCAGCAGTTCCCTTCATTCCCATTTCAGCGAGCAGATTTATGTTGGCATTAATTACTGTTGGTTGTCGATAGGAGATGCTTTGAGCCAACATGGTATGTGCGTGGGTTTTACAAATGCACCGTTGGGTGTTGCATTGCTCAAGCGGGTGCTAATATTTATAAGTGAAGAGCCCTCTTGGCTGTGCAGATTTACCAGATTATGTAAACCTAGCACTGTTTACTTGGATATTTGTACATTAATAAGTTTAGGAAGAAATTGATCTCCGAGGAAGCGTTAATCATCCACGATTTTGTTTGATCAGAGGATGGCACTGCCGTTCCGTATTGTGTAATCGTAAAATAGCTTGTTTTGTTGAGTTTAGTGCCAAGAGCAGATGCACTGCCTAGTCTCACAGCATGCTGAGCCTAAATCTGAGTGCATTATTTAGAACTATGCTCAAATGTTGGTATTCTTTTACAAAGTAATTGCATGTTTCAGGCGATTAAAAACTTCTGGACGGGGATCTTGGGAATGGTGTCGCATGTCATTAATGTCTCTGAACTGCATGCTGGAGCGAGGTCAAAACGGGGGAACTTGTGTATATTTCCCCACCG